AAGTTATGAAGCATCCGAGTGGATTCCAATAATCTTTTTTCTCCAAGAACAGATGAAATGTTTAACTGTAAAAAGACAACCCAAATTGTCTGAATGATGATTATTTGAATAAATAAAACTTTGATTTCATATATTCCAGAAGGTGAAGAATGATTTTTTTCATCTTAAATATCTCAGGTAAGAAAGTAAGTATTCATTTTTAGAACAAGCGTGACAAAAATCAGAAATGTAAAAATTATTTTAAAACCTTTTGGGTTTTTCTGGGATACTCATTTTATTATGCGTTTGATGTTTTTACTTGTTGCCACTGTATTGATCTCTTTGTTTTTTTAAGTAATGGTGCAATTCTCCTGCAGGCACAATCAGACAATCATACAAATGAATCTTATTGACTTGTTTACAATATTACACCCTTTTTCCATTGATCAACTATCCTGTTTTTGTACCTCTATCTCCTGGTAAGAGCTGTTGATCATGGCAATGAGCATGTTGAGAAGAACTACCACCATAGTGACATTATAGACTCCGTACAGCACGTAGCCAATGTTCTCTATGAACTTATGGTCATACTTCAGCACCACCGAAATCACTTCAGACAGCCCGAAGATTGACCAGAAAAGAGTCTTGAAACTCTCCTCTACCCTGCAGGAACAGAGAGAGATGTTGTAGCAGTCAGGAAATCAGCACATGCCAGTGACTACACATACAAAGCCCAACGCGTTACCAGCTAATTGCTGTTTCAGTCACACACATGCAAACACATGAAATGCATTTTAATGTTGTGGGATTTGTGAGGTGGCACTGATGAAATACCTGGTGAGTCATGTCCAATTTGAACACATTGCTACCCCATTTAGATCTCTCTCACACACACAAACACACACAAACACACTTATCTATAAATACAACCATATAGCACTGTATGTACCACACAAAGCAACACATCGAAAAAGCAGGGAAAAGTTCAGCTCCACAGTTTGAAAGATTGGTTTATAAATCTCTGTTCATTAAATTCTCAGCCTAGTCCTTCATCGACCTTTATTCAAAATAGAAACGTCGCTGCACTTAATAGAAAAAAAAGAAAGATTTAAGATGAATGTGCATGTGATCCTTTCGGGGGTGTCAAGGTTATATCTAGAAAGAAAACATTTAAACTCAAATGCATTCAACGTTTTTAGGAATAATGGAAGTGAAATAAGTTTTTTCACGTTAAATGTCATACTGAATTATACTTCTCACTCTTGTGGTTGATGTATAATTCTTAACTCCACTTGACTCTACCTCTGACATTTAAGTATGATAACTGAAGCATGGCTAATGTTTCATTTAAAGCGTATAGTGCTTTGCTGTTTCTACTGAGATCCACACTCAAACTCTCAGTTCTGCTTGGAGGATCATTCTCTCACACTGACCCAATATGTGTTTAAGGGCCAGAGGGCTGAGAAAGGAAAACAAGGTGTAAAAAAAAAGAAAAAAAAAAAGCACAAAGCTGTGAGATCTCTGAACATTGACATTCATGAACATGTCTGCTGTTAAATATTCCACGAGTGGTATGCATGGGCTTGAGATGGCAGAGGGGGGCTCAGTGGGAAGGAGAGAGACGCCTGGTTGGATTGCTGGAGGGGTTGGTGGTGGGAGGAAGCTGTGGAATAGAAGATCTGTAGGTTCCTGGTTGAGAGCTATGGGTGTCATCCAAATTATCTTCTTTCAAAGAGACAGTGTTTCATTGGCACACAGAAAGGTAGGTGATGGCACCTGCTGGTGGCAAACAAGACACTCACATGCATACCAAGATAGAAGCAGAGAGAAACACACACAGACAGACTTTTTCCTCCTCTCTATCACACGTAAAAAACAGACTCCTTTGGGTACCTCAGGAATAACCTTTCAAGAAGAAAGCCAAACATACTCTTTAACCTTCAACACCAGATCAGTGAATTTGTCTGTGTGCTCTATCTCTTAAACTCAGATAGAAGATATCTAAGAATATCTTCTATCATTGCCCTCCATACTTACTTCCAGAAAACATTAACCAGTGCGCAAAAATAACCTGAAAACCATTCTGGAATTACTTAAATACTACGAGAAACTGTTACAGTCTCATTGTTGCATCATGTTTTGCATCGATCAACCTTGCACATTGTTGCTGCTGATTAGACTCGTTTTTTCATGCTGGCCTCTAAATATTGGCATGCAGTCACTATTGTTTTGTGCTGTTCTGATGATAGCTGAATAGTGTATATATGAGCAGCTAACCACATGGCAACAGCTTAATGCATTTAGGCATGTAGACATGGTCAAGATGCCATATTTAGGTTCAAACTGGGCATGGGAATGATGGGAAGAAAAGTGATTTAAGTGACGTTGAATGTGGCATGGTTATTGGTGTCTGAATGGCTGCTGTGAGTATTTCAGAAACTGCTGATCTACTGTGATTTTTCCACAAAACCATCTCTAGGCTTTACTATGAATGATCCAAAAAAAAAAAAAGAGTAAATATCCAGTGAGCAGTAAAGCTTTGGGTTAAAATGCTTTGTTGATGTCAGAGGTTGGAGGAGAATCACCAGACTGCTTCGACCTGATAGGAGGGCAACAATAACTCAGATAACCACTCTGCATACCAAGGTATGCAGAAGAGGGTCTCTGAGCACACAACACGTCAAACCTTGAATCAGACCACACCACCTGCTACTCTTGACAGCTAAGAACAAAAAATTGTGGCCAAGAGTGTACCCAGGGTTAACCCCTTCCTATTTATTTTATATATCAACCGTCTGACTCAGTGTTATAAATGCTCATTTTCACTGTTATGCTGATGTCATAGCCATGTACCGATCTTTTGATGTATGCATCTGTTTATCACGGAGCACTCATCACAAACCCTAAAGCTACAGTTTGCTGACAATTTTCTGTGTTATTGTTATGGCTCATTTATTTAACATTATACCCTTTTTAGTAAGCTACATGAGGCACTTTAGAGTTGTCATGATTCAAGCAAATGGAAATTTTAACAGGTTCAGGAACATATCACTATGCACCAAGTAAGCAATTTCCTCTGTACCCTTAATGTAAATATACATATCAGGAACAACGTGGAAGCATGCAAATATCTGCCCCCATCTCATCAGGATACTTAATAAGTACTTGGAAAAATGTGCATCGTACAGAGGGGTACAAATTACTGGCATAAGCATCAACATATTGCAGTGGCATCAATGACTGAAGGTGTCTGTAAAGAGAAACACATTCAAAAGCATTTACAGCAGTTCTTAGGTGGTTTTCTTCTTTGTGTTGTCACGATAGAGGCTCCAGGCCTCAGACAGGCAATTGCTCTGAGGGGAAGGCTCTTTTCAACAGTATCATCTCCTCACTCACTATTCACGTCACACACATCCAGAAGCCAATCGTGCAATCAGGAGAGGAGAGGAAGGTGATTTTGGTGGACTTCCCTTGAAAACCTGTTATTTTGATCCTTCTCTCTTTTAATAATGGCTTGTCACTTATCTGAAGCCTCTCTTTCAAGATTAAAAAACACACACACACACACACACACACACACACACACACACACACACACACACACACTCAGACTTTCCTGTCTTTGAAATTTGAAAGAAAACAAAAAGGAGGACAATTATCTTCTCTAGATCATATTGTATCCCAATTATCTTTGAAATCAAATTATTCTTCCAATTATTCTTCCAGGTCTCCTTTCTGGCGCTGTGAAATGCTCACTCGATTTAGATTTTCATGTCCCTAAAATTCAAGTACAGATAATGATGGAGGGCATTGTTCCAGCTAACATTAAGGCCCCATTATACCAGACATTCACAGGAACACACACAATTAAAATCTAGCACTCGTTACACAGTAGACTATTTATATTCCATGTCCATCTGTTTGCCTAGGCAGATTGTGAGTTTAACATAACATCCAAAAATGTGGGTGATATTTACAAGTGGGCAGTGTCAGTGAAAGTGAACCCCTTCTTGTCATGTCAACTATGTAAAAATATAAGGCTACATACATGCCCCTCACTTCTATCAACCCTTATGTGAATTGAACATGGAGTCACATGTAGAGTATTTAAGCGAGCTGCATTTCTTTTATACTGGATTATACTGATGCATGGGCAGCCAGCGTCGCTGTGCATCCTCATTTGTTTTGCTTGCTTTGTTTTCAGCTTATTTAATTCACTCAAATCTGTGTGAGATGCCTCTCAGGGAGAAAGTGCAATTATGGAGAATTTAAATGTATCCTTGGAGATCAACGGGACTGATAAATTTGAATTTGTGTTTCGCTAATGTCAGCTAAGGTTCCGGTCATGTGTGTATTATTTAATACCCTGTTACGGAGATGGATGAGATGCTTGGTGCTCTGGATAATGGAACATTTTTTAGCAACCTAAGAATCAGATTATTTCATTTCAAACCAGTGTGTCTGTATTTGTGTGTGTGTGCGTGTGTTTTACAATAGGGTTGTACAATAGGCAGTGAATCAGCAGGGACAGTCGGCATCTTGAAACGGCTATGAATTGTGTGTTATTATCTGTTATTAAGAGTGGCAGCTCCCTGTAGGCTGCATGCAGCATGACGACTACACCACACATGTACAGACACTCACACACAACAGTGTTTCCATCAAGCCAACACTCTTCTCTGACTTGTATCCATCACTTTAAAAGACATTACATTAACATTTAACCTCATTCATATCCTGGAGAGGTGCTCTAACCTTAAATTAAGTCTTCAATCTAAAAATTCGGGAGTTTTTGTCCCCAGAAAGACGCTCATTTGCCGCAGTGTGACTATGTAATCAGATTTATGTCCCCACAACATCAGCAGTGAAAGTACACACACACACACACACACACA